GACTTCTCCTCCGGACCCTGGACCTACTCTGCCCTTCCAGTCTTCACCATTCAGGTCGATGCACAGTCATCACTATTCATCTACTGTCTACTCTCTTCTCAGTCACCACCGCTTCCCCGTTGACCAGCTCAGGAGTGACCCCAGCATCCGCAGCCCGGCCTACTCCCATCCATCTCCCTACAAACTGATTTCTCCACTGCTGATCGACACCTGGTTACTCTCCATCATTCTTCACCTGCCTGTTTTCTTGTTTGTTCACTGCACTGTAAATAAATTTGGCACTACTTGCACTGAAGTCAGCTACCTGGGTCCATCTATTATTACTCTCTCACTTCCATGTCCGAGCGACGCTAACACAAATAAACCTAGGAATGAAACTGGTTTCACTTTTCTGACAGAGAACATGTTTTAAGTTCACTAACAAACAATATATGGTTGTGAATGGGTTTTAGGATTTTAGCCTAAAACATCAGCCAGCACCCTCCTTGAAAAGATGGAGGCCCCTTCCACCATCTTGTTAGCTTTACAGTATGTCTTTTATGCTATATAAATGATAAACACTGGTTTTGTTGCCTGCATACTAAATTCACCCAATTAAACTAATGCATTGCTAACACAGCAAATACAGTGCCTTGCGAAAGTATTCGGCCCCCTTGAACTTTGCGACCTTTTGCCACATTTCAGGCTTCAAACATAAAGATATAAAACTGTAATTTTTTGTGAAGAATCAACAACAAGTGGGACACAATCATGAAGTGGAACGAAATTTATTGGATATGTCAAACTTTTTTAACAAATAAAAAAACTGAAAAATTGGGCGTGCAAAATTATTCAGCCCCCTTAAGTTAATACTTTGTAGCGCCACCTTTTGCTGCGATTACAGCTGTAAGTCGCTTGGGGTATGTCTCTATCAGTTTTGCACATCGAGAGACTGAAATTTTTGCCCATGCCTCCTTGCAAAACAGCTCGAGCTCAGTGAGATTGGATGGAGAGCGTTTGTGAACAGCAGTTTTCAGTTCTTTCCACAAATTCTCGATTGGATTCAGGTCTGGACTTTGACATAGCCATTCTAACACCTGGATATGTTTAGTTTTGAACCATTCCATTGTAGATTTTGCTTTATGTTTTGGATCAGTGTCTTGTTGGAAGACAAATCTCCGTCCCAGTCTCAGGTCTTTTGCAGACTCCATCAGGTTTCCTTCCAGAATGGTCCTGTATTTGGCTCCATCCATCTTCCCATCAATTTTAACCACCTTCCCTGTCCCTGCTGAAGAAAAGCAGGCCCAAACCATGATGCTGCCACCACCATGTTTGACAGTGGGGATGGTGTGTTCAGGGTGATGAGCTGTGTTGCTTTTACGCCAAACATAACGTTTTGCATTGTTGCCAAAAAGTTCGATTTTGGTTTCATCTGACCAGAGCACCTTCTTCCACATGTTTGGTGTGTCTCCCAGGTGGCTTGTGGCAAACTTTAAACGACACTTTTTATGGATATCTTTAAGAAATGGCTTTCTTCTTGCCACTCTTCCATAAAGGCCAGATTTGTGCAGTATACGACTGATTGTTGTCCTATGGACAGAGTCTCCCACCTCAGCTGTAGATCTCTGCAGTTCATCCAGAGTGATCATGGGCCTCTTGGCTGCATCTCTGATCAGTCTTCTCCTTGTATGAGCTGAAAGTTTAGAGGGACAGCCAGGTCTTGGTAGATTTGCAGTGGTCTGATACTCCTTCCATTTCAATATTATCGCTTGCACAGTGCTCCTTGGGATGTTTAAAGCTTGGGAAATCTTTTTGTATCCAAATCCGGCTTTAAACTTCTCCACAACAGTATCTCGGACCTGCCTGGTGTGTTCCTTGTTCTTCATGATGCTCTCTGCGCTTTAAACAGACCTCTGAGACTATCACAGTGCAGGTGCATTTATACGGAGACTTGATTACACACAGGTGGATTCTATTTATCATCATTAGTCATTTAGGTCAACATTGGATCATTCAGAGATCCTCACTGAACTTCTGGAGAGAGTTTGCTGCACTGAAAGTAAAGGGGCTGAATAATTTTGCACGCCCAATTTTTCAGTTTTTTTATTTGTTAAAAAAGTTTGAAATATCCAATAAATTTCGTTCTACTTCATGATTGTGTCCCACTTGTTGTTGATTCTTCACAAAAAATTACAGTTTTATATCTTTATGTTTGAAGCCTGAAATGTGGCAAAAGGTCGCAAAGTTCAAGGGGGCCGAATAATGAAACTTCCTGGGCAGCCAACCCAGAGCCACCAAAGCACAGTTTTATACGTTTGGCTGCCCAGGAAGTTCACTGAAAAAAAGACGGTAGCACATCACTAACAGTTCCAGTCACTGATAGAGGAAGTGATGAACAGATTGACTAATGAATTGCTCACTGTGCTGGAACCTAATTTACATTTCCAGGGGATCTATATGTCCCAAGTCTCACATCTCTATTCCAATGAAACAAAACTGAGCATTCACTATCTATAGTCAAGTTAAGGTGAGATCCATTGCTGACAGCAATGACAGTGGCTCATCATGAAACCTTTTACTATGGGCTTTACACCGTGAGAAATGGCACCATTTCTCTGAGTGTAATCAGCTAAAAACATAATTTCAGCATTTTCATGTAGACATAGTGGGAAAACCATAAAACCACCAGTGGAAGCAGATCCTTTGCTTAAGAAGAAGAACTGATACAACAACACTAAAAATGGTTCCACTTTATAGAAAAAGTCCTTCACCCAAATTCAACCTCAAATACCAAGTGTAAGTAAAAGTGCAGAAACATTATAAGTACTGAATTTATGAAACTGGTCCCTGTGAGTGTTACATATACTATTATTAGATTATTGTTGCTCATAGAAGTTGGTCAAGATGAGGCTAATATGAATTATTTTATGGTAGATTTTATTTACTGTTAATAGTATTTTCATTATATCTTAGAAAATCATCACATGTTCCTTAAAATATACAGAGTTCCTGAGTTACATTAGAGCCACAGTGCCAGCAGACAGGCCTGTGTCTTATCATATGTCGGCAGTTAGTGTAACATGAGTCACATCAGTGCTTTCATTCACCACAGCACTGAGCATGTTCCCCGCCCTGTTTTATCTGAGATAACATGGCTGGTAAAGGTTGAAACGCCATGAATATTTAAATAAAAATACTTCTGACATTAAAATATATTCATATAGCTGCATCTGTTCTATACACTGGTGGAATAATAACATTAACTGGTAACATTAACACAGTGGCGACAGTAGCTGATTATTAATTAACCATAAATGTGTAAGATAAGATTTTCCTACCTTCAACTTTCCATCAGCAAATCAACAAAAAGATCCTGGAGCTTCCTGGTCCTGAGGAACCAGAACAAAGGACATGAGAGTACAGACAGAAGATAATCAGAAAGGAACGATACGAGCAACACTGCTTCACACTAGGAAGTGCAGCGTACTGTAGTGAGGCCCCTCCCTCTCTGGGCTAGCCAGAAGAGAATTTACAATGGTTTTTCATATGTTGTTTAAATAAGGACCAGTACAGCAGTGAGAGTTACAGTACTTACAGTACTGCACTTAACAAAAAGAGCGGGAGAAAGCTGCTTGGTTACAAGATGTCAGTGTTGACTTAAGTCTCATGGATGAGTTTCTGTCAACAGCCCTGGAAAAATCACATTCAACAAATACATACACAAGGGACAATCCCATAAATAAATACAGTGACTCAAGGGACCAAGAAAATATATTTTGTATTAACAGAAATGTGCTTGCTGTTCTAGACTATCACTGTAGCATCAGTGTTTTTTCTACCTCTGTGGGTTTCATGAGTTCTCAGTGACACATATGTGAAAGTGTGGTTGGAAAAAAACACCCTCAAAAGTTTCCACTGACAACTTCACACCATTTCATTGTGGTTGTAAATTTCTAAAGAACCGGTTATACCAGGCTGGTGCCCAGATAGACTCCAGGAGGGGCCCAGGCACCTGCCCTTCTCCCTCTGACTTGGTAAGTGCCTTCTTGCCAGGGCTTTTTTTTTCTATTTTCAATTTAATCTTTTAGCTTTTTGCTCAATTTTTATTTTAGTGAATGGCATCAAAATTCAACTAAGAGTATTCTGCAACTATATGGCTAAATATGCCTCACCTTCTGACTTCCTTTTTGCCACTGCACACACAAAGCACCCACACAACAGCAACACCCACACACTTCTCCCAGGGTCTGATGATTGATAGGAAATAAAAATGAGCCCTCACTTTACATGTTGTTTGTCACTGCTGTCAACTTAAACCATCATGCAATGGCCCAAAATTAAGCAGGCTAGCCCAGTCAGATAGTTCTGTGCTTTTTATATTATCATCTGATCATTAGCCTATGCCCTGTCTACTTGTGGCTTAGGCCTTTTACACCTAGCTGAGTTGTGAAGGTAGTGGACAAGCAGAGTTGTCAGCCCATATTCAATATCTTTGTGCATCTTTTTAAGGCATAAATGTAGAAACAGCAGTGGTGATAACATCATAATATTAAGTAAAACCAAATCAGTTCTGGATAGCTGAAAGGTCAGAGGGGTAAAGATAAGCTCCGCTATCTTATTGCCTCTAAAGTACAGTACATTCACACCCGACCACTTCGTGCTTACATGTCGGTATCTTTCTCATGTTTAAACACTGAGGCAGCTGCAGTGGATTGTTGCTGACTTGTTTACATGAATAATAAAGTTAAAAAAAATTTAAAGGTGTGACTGAAAAGCTCAGAGATTAAAAATGAAATGCTTTTAGTAGTTCAGTGCATCTAGTGTAGTGGTTACAAACAAGTTACAAGTTAATATGTAACATGTAATAGAGTACTATAGGAGTGGGAACATTACATACATGTAACATGTGTATTTAGGTCACAGAGCGAATTAAAAAAGCTTACATAACTTCTGCAAGAGCAGGAAACATCTGGTATGGACATTAGCTAAGTATTCCAAAGCACATTCTGAGAAGTGATGTCCATCAATCCTTTTTCTTCCGCTTATCCAGGACCGGGTCGCGGGGGCAGCAGTCTAAGCAAAGATGCCCAGACTTCCCTCTCTCCAGACACTTCCTCCAGCTCCTCAAAGGCGTTCCCAGGCCAGCCGAGAGACATAGTCCCTCCAGCGTGTCCTGGGTCTTCCCCGGGGCCTCCTCCCGGTGGGACATGCCCAGAACACCTCCCTAGGAAGGCGCCCAGGAGGCATCCGAAACAGATGCCCGAGCCACCTCAGGCCCACCACCTGCAGGAGGATCCGTAAGGGGCCGGTGCACAGTGGATTGGGCAGCAGTCGAAGGCAGGTGGCCCGACGACCCGATCTCTGGACATGGAGAAGTGATGTAAGATAGAAAAAACGCAGGAAAGGAGTAGGACATTTATGAGGGGCATAAAAAACTAACGAATCAGAGAGAAAGACACAGAAGATAGATGGAACAAGAGCAAGCAAGCAGCTGGACGAGAGGGGAGACAGGAGAGGACTGACTGACTGATCGACGGACTGACTTACACTCTGATTTGACTGCTCATGCACAAACCATTCAATACTTTTATTTGATTCTCTGCAGAGAAGGTGATTCTATTCCCTGCCTTTTGAATTACTGTCATAATAAACGGAATTCTAGTGATTCATCTGTCGATTCATTTAGCTCACATCAGACAATGGCCACTACACATAGCAGCAGTAGCTGTGCAAGACAACGGGAGAGGAGGAGCAGAGTGGATTCGGTTCCACAGCTCCCAATGAGTACATTTGTTGACTGGAGTACCCAAAGTCTGCCATGAGCTCGGTCTCAAAATTCTATGAATGAATGAGGAAAAGTAAAAGTGTCTGGTGCTGTACTTACTGTGCAGTCTGAATTCACAGTAAGAAAAACACCGGTACAGCTTATTTCAGGTGGAACATCAGGCTGCTGTGGTGGTTTGGGGACTAGTATGTTTTATTAACCTGTAGCTTATGTTTCTACCTGCCAGAGTGATGAAACTGATGAAAATTATCCATTTTGAAGCATGTTTGTGCCGGTTTATAAATATACAAGCTAAAAACCAAAGCAGAGATTGTAATGAGGACACAAGCTTGTGCAAAATGGGCGATAATTCAGGGTAGGTTAGACAGAAGCAACCACTTTCACATTACATGTAGTGAGCTGTGTATGTGGGCTTATTCCTATCTTGAATCAAGCGCACGATCTTCAGTTTGAGATCATAATGATACTTGGTCCTCACACTCTCGTTCTCAAAGTGGAGATCACGCTCTTGATTCAAGATAGGAATAAACCCCCATAGCCATGCAGCTCTGTGAGGCTGTAATTAGAGACAGCAGTGCTTTGAGCTAAATGATAAAATCACCATGCTAACATAACACTAACAATACTACTAACGTGCCGATGTTAAGTATGTGAAGTTTACCGTGTTTCACCATCTTAGTTTAGTGTGTTACCAGCATTTGCCTCATAGCAAACAATGTACAGCTGAAGGTATTTTTACAGATGTTTGGTCATAAAGTATTGGACCAATTTTAAATAACAGACAATGCTCATACTGAGGACAACATCAATGTGTGCAGTAAATGTCAGGGACCAGAGGAAAAGTCATGGAATCACCAAACACTTAGTGGGACTCACCCTAACAGGTGCATTCATTTATTTTGGATGGTGACACTTCTGCAGAGGTTTGAAGTGGGCAGAGGCACATTATGATTAAAAGACGGATCAAATAACATTTGTATGGCTGCTATTTTGGCCAAGTCTCCTTTGAAAAAGAGGACTTGATCTACTTATGGTAGAAAAAAGGTTAAAAAACACAATTTGTCCCATTGCACAGGGGATTCCAGTGTGTAGAGTTTAGAAAGATCAGCCAAATACCTTTTGTGTTAGTGGAAAGTTGTGTAGTGGTTAGAACAAACAAGTTACAGTTAATATGGATATGTAATAGAGTATTGTAGGAGTGTGTACATTACACATGTTTAGATGTTCATGTGTTAAACCAAGAACATCCTTGAGTTCAAATCCTAAGTTGAACATCCCACTAGGTCTGCTTGCCTTGGAGATAATATTGAATAAACATTCCAAAGCACATTTTGAGGAATGACTAATGTGGTGCTGTTCGTTTTATATTGAAAGAGAAGACTAAAAAGAGGATATATATTTCTCAATGTGAAATTTATTATGCATTAATGTATCAAAATTAACATGTGCACATGGAGCCTATCTGTTTAGGATAAACAAGAAAGACTAAACAGGAAAGACTAAACAGAAAAGACTAAATAGACAGACTAAACAGAAAGACTGACTTCAACTTAGTGGGTAACAATATTTGTATGAAAAGGTACTACTATCTAATTGGTCCAAAACAGTTGGGGAGGAGCCGTGGTTTAGACTTAACTCTCCCGTTATTGATCCTTCAGTCCGTCCGTCCTCTCTGCTCCAATCATCGTGGACAGCGCCCTAGAAAGGAGGAATACCTGTACTACTTTAATTCCTACATACACACTCACGTCTTCCTTTGTTTCCACTTAATTAAAACTGTTTTACCTGGGTGTGTGTGTGCATAACTGTTCTCCCTTTGAAGCTCTCTCATCTACGTCTAATCTATTTTAATAAACTTGGAGCCTTACCGTACCAAGACTCCTTTGGGTCCACCAATCCAGAGGAACGATACGTAACTATGAGCTCCCTTAGCTACAGCCATAAATCTAATGAAATTCAGTAATTTAGTGGACAAGACTTATGATGTTGCATTAGTGTTTCAGTGACTCACACAGCAGATATTTGACTAGTAGTTAAGTGAACACAAAGTGATATTCATAACTATATAAGCATATCTGTGACATATAAGTATTTAAACTTATGTGTGTTATAAAATAAAACCATTCTTAAGTGTATAAAATAAAAATCACCCTAACACTAACTTAGGACAGTAACTTAGAACAATAACAGGAAAAGGGTGTGACATGGTGATGAAGGGACAGAGCTAGTTAGTTGGTGTGTGTGTTTGGGAAGCAAGCAAGGATGGGGAGCTAGCAGGGGAAGAGAGGAGAACTGAGAAAGAGAAACAGACTCGACTGTTAAATGGTCATTGGAATTGTAGTGATTTGTCTGTGAATTAATTTAGTTCACATCAGACTCTCGCCACCTCAGTTGCAACATAAACTCCAGAAAATCTAGCCAGTGTTTCTTGTTAGTATGCAGCTTACTGAAACATCTGTGGTCTTGAAAAATAGCCCTGTAAAAACTGTATATAGCAGAATGTCCTCAAACAGAAGTGGAATAGAACAGGAACTATAGTAGTATTGTTATGGAACTAACTAGATTACAGGTTTAGACAATGTGCTAAATGGTTCAGTTTTAACCAAGCACTGGTTCTCTGGAGCTCATTATTTCCCATTTAGGGGTTCTTGGCTCAAGTGTCTCATTGCTCTCTGGTGTTTTGGAAGGAAACCTACCTCCCTCTTTCAC